TAAAGTAAACTCACACGCATGTCTATCCTATTCTATTTCTCTATGTCACTATATACATCTATATGCACTCTTACCGACGTTCGTCGGTTGTACTACACTGGATGATGAACCTGCAGTCATCATTGGTTCTACCTCCTGTCACCCTACTGGCGGGTATTCTACGCCTCGGTATCTCGAATGAACCTAGTCAATCTAGTTAGCCTATCTTTCCCTGTGGTTTACACTTAACATTTATCACTATCACACTTAAGGTTCATGGCTATATGAAGTTGGTTTCACTTACTTGAGATGAGGAAACAGATGCTCGCCATCACCAACCAGCGCACACTCACGGCCATCGCTCTCTCGGCGATAGCCTCCCCTGAACTCCAAGTTACATAATATTAATCAAAAGTCTAAAGGCAAAAGATTTCTTGATTAAGTCTTCTAGGGTTTATATAACCTCTCTTTGCTGATTCTTTGAGTTCCGGGTAGGTTGCCTGCCCATTCTGACGTGATTTTGGCCTCCCTCATTGGTTGCCCATCGAGAAGGGGTTGACTCTTTCGGGTCTACCGCCTCCTCTGACTCAGCGTTTTCCTCCTGCCATAGTGTTTATGACCCACTTCATATAGCTCCTTCCTCAATGTCAGCGCTATTACACTGCCGGGTTAGCATTCTAATGACTCAGGCATTCCCTGTTACAATTCTTTGTAGACCTAAGCTTCCTGGTTCGTTTCATCATGGCTATTTCTTAATCTTACAGTCTAGCTACTATTATTCCAATTTTACCCCAAAAAAATTATATCTCCAAGTACGTGACCTTTGCGCCATTACAATAGTCTTTGCAATTTTAGTTATTCATGACAGATGTGTGAATGCATGTGATATGTTTATAGAGTTGGCATTGGGTGGGGTGAGGGATGTAGGGGCCCAAACTCCAAAGTTGTGCCCACAAATGTCACTATGCTAGTGAATCATATAGTCACAGCTATACAAATGTGTTATTTCCTCTTACAAGTTTTATTGCATGAAGTAGATCCTAACCTGATCTAGTTAAATCCAATCCATGCCAAGTGGGTTCACACCAGTTTGGTAGAACCTGTTCTTCTGAAAGCACAGAATTCTGTCTTTCATTTATGAGCAGTAGGTTTGTGAATTAGGTTATGTAGTGTAGCGTGAAGGGTGAGGATAGGATACTTCAGATCATGAAAGGTCATTACACAGACATCGCCCAATATTACAGGCATATAAACATGGCAACATTTATGTATCAGGAGGGAAGGCTGAGTAGATGGATGGACATTGTTGCTTTTAATATGCTGAAGGGTGTTATAAGCTAATACTGCTAACCTAACTATGAAACAATTGTGTAGCTTCTAAGATTGAATCAAAACCATTATAGTCTGAGGGACCATATCTCTTAACCAATATACTACTTAACCAAAATAGAAACTGTTGTTCTCAGTAAAGAATACAGTTTATCACTTTGATCAGAAAAGAAATGTTCACTTCCTGAAGAAGTACCATTAGCAGACAATTACTGATTGTAATAATGTTGGTTACAAAGCATTGTCCTTCAGTGTGTAACTGCAGAAAAGCCTGTCTGTTTATCTTGAGAGTGGAGAAATGCTACTGGCCATTGATTAACAAAAGAAGTCCAGCAGAAATCAGTGTGTAAGTAATGCACATGCATTATGAGCACTGCATGTTAAAGACTTTGTAAATATTATAAGAAAGTGAAAAAGATCAGTTCATGCAATTGATAAAGGCAATGAAAATATGTAACTTTAACCATTCATATTTTTAACACAGTCTACAGTTTCATAAAGCAGTACCAATTAGTAATGGATAAGGAAGAAGAAATATAATTGAAAATGAAAAATGGTTTCAATGTTAAACAAATTTCTTTACATTTGAGACAAACTACTTTGTAAACTGGGAACATTTTTGAGGTGTTGAAAAATCAAAGTTTTGATAAATAGTACACTAGAAAGCTAGATTTGTATCATAAAGATGATGCAAACACGGTTTCCAAAAAGAGTGCTTAAGTAATTTTTAGGTGTAATATTGTAATTTTTCAAGAACAGTAAATTTACATACGACTTAACATCATCAGATGCATCAATATTTGCAAGACCACTTTCTATGCCAAAAACATGTTGATATACTGAATATTATTTAGAAAATAATTTAATACTGGTACCATAGTTCTTGTTCTGACAGAGCTAACACAGCGTTAGATCATAAATCTTGGAGTCTTACCTAGACTGTTCTGTGTTTCCATAATTAATTCTCTGACATCAAATCAAAATGCACTGGATGCACTAAAGTCAACATGGAACTAGTAGCAGCAGGTGGCTTAATTGCAAGATGTGCAAGAGCTGTTCATCTAAGGAAGCCAATAAAGGGAAATATGCAATTCTTGACTCTTCACCTATCCAATGACAGCCTTGCAAGGACATTTAATTAATAAAAATAAAGGAGAGGGAGGATATACTGGATTACCAAGAGCCCATTTGATTCAAAGCATTATTGGTGATGAACAGTGGACTACTTGACGATATCAATGAACTGTACACAAATTTACCATCTCTGTTTAACTTACTGAAGCTTGTAAGTTGGCCAGCCCTCTCTTCCTTATTGGGTGGGGAAAAGTGAAATTAAGCCATTAAATAGTCTCATAAAATAATAGTTCTGTAAATAATTTTTTAGACTTGATGGATGAAAGATATTTACCAAACCTGAACTATTAAAGGAACAAGGAAAATTATTAAAGTTTATGAAAAATGAAGAACATAGCCAGTCATAATAGAAATACATTTTTAACTGAAAATATTTCTCATCTCAAAACAATCAGGCTCTTAGGATAAACCTTTAACAGATTCTCAAGTCATGATGAAGCCAAGAACATCACAAAACAGATGACAATCATAAAGAAAATGAAACCAGCCAACAGAGCTCTGTGTCTGCTTTCCAATGGCTGCTTGATGGTTTTGTGCTTGACTTACTCTTCAGCCTTGAAAATAGAGGTGATATGTCAGGCTTTTGTTTTTGAACTCAGCGTGTCAAAAGAATTAGTAACACATTGCATAGTACTCAAATGCTTAAAAACAAAATAGAAAGAATGGAATCGTGAAAAATCCAATTTTATTTGATCCCTGGACACTTTGGATTTGAAGTTAATGAGATAGCTGACTCATAGACAAAGCAGTCAATCAGAGTGAGTCAACTACTGTTACCACTGGCAGATCTTAAAGCCTAGTGGAAAAATAAAGGCAAAGAAGAGCTTCACGGTTTGTCAAAACAGCAAAAGGAACAGAGGAGAAAGGTACTGCAGGAATGGCTTGTCTCTGAGATTCTGCAAGATACAAATGAATTGTCATGCCTTCGTGTCAATAAACTGTATGAGAGCAGGTCACTCTGTCTTAAAGCAAGCTTAAAAACAAATTCCCTGGCTTTAGTCCGTAAGCAAACTATACCGACCTCCGCTTTTCGGCGAAGCTAGTGTCAACTTTAGGGGATAGAGGGTGTCACATGGTCAGCGCAACAACAACAAAAAATCCTTACAGCCATTAATTTCGGTTTTATAGACCAGAGGCGCTACCACTTTTCCGTTCATGTAGCTCCTCAGTTATCCTAACGAAGCTTAGTGGACCCCATTCCAGAGCCACTACTTCTCGGGGCGCTAGGAATCGAACCCGGTACCTCTGGATCTGAAGCCAGGAACTCTGACATCTAGACCAGTGGAGGTCTCCTTGAAGTAAGCTTAAATAGGTTTAATTTTGTGTCCACTGCTGAATGTGAATGTGGTGATAGGCTGCAAATGGAGGAACATATCTTCTGGGATTGTAAACTGTACGAGAACCAAATGGCGGCAATGATGAACATTTTGTATGAGAATGGCAAAAAAGAATACCCAAAGTCTTAAAGATATAGGAAAAAAAGAGTACAAGGCGTCTGTCATTTCACAAAAAAAAATAATCCTAAATAAAAAGTAAATGTACATGCTAATAATATTAGCATACCCTTAGGGCGATGGCACACCAAGGAAACTGGCAACCGTAACGCAATTTTAGCGATTTGTCGCCGATTTCAAGCAGGAAACTGGTTTCCAGATTGAGAGGCGCACAGTAAGGAAACAATGCTTATGATCCTTATCATTGATTAGTTGTTCACATCATCTTAAGTGGGTATGTTTGTTCAACGTAATACATAATTGTATTTTTTTTATGTTTCATGAACTTACCTTCTGCAATGGAAGATAAAAACACTGATTCTACCATAATAGGGTGGTAGTTGAGACGGCGTGAGAAGGGTGACAAGGAAAATATTGCGGTTTTAGTTAAGGTCAAATTATTTTAATCGGGAAATATCGCGTTCACACGCGATACGAAATTTCGACATACAATGCAAAAATTTTAGCAAGAGAGAATACACCTGATGATGGCCGTATATAGCCGAACCATGTAATACGGAAGGAGGTTGACTATATAAGTGGTACAAGACGCAAATGTATGTTAAATAAATGATATATTAATGCAACACAATGCTTAAACACAATATTAGGAAAAGAAAACATTGGCTGCATCCGTTCTTCTGTGACAATTTAACCTGGGGTATTTAAATTGTTTCGAAAGAACTTAACCTGGATGTAGACCATTTCGTCTCATGAGAAATTCTTTCCCCAAGTCAGATCTATTTTGTTCCGCCTAACATAGTCTGGCGTTTGTCACAGATACCAGGCTTTTGCCCAGTTAACTGCACAAAAACAAAATTAGCAGCTTCGTAAACTTTTCGTGCCACTTAACAAACAAATGAATCACTTAAGAACCTTTCAGAGCAGCCGATACTAGGAAACAACGCGGCAACGCAATTGTGAGAAGACTGGCATGGCCCGTGTCACCAAATTGAATCTCTTCGTGAGTTGGGTTGCCGTTTCCTCAATTTGTGCTGCTCCATTCACTAATAACTGGCTGATAACAATTCTTGGAAATCGCGGTTGCGTTGCAGTTGCCAGGTTCCTTGGTGTGCCCAAGGCCGCCTGGGCGTACTGCTACGGATCGCGATGTGGGCGTTAAGTAGGTGGTAGTTCGTAAGTGCTGAAAGTATTTTCTTTTATTCACGGAACGAATTTGTTCCTCAGTTATTTAAGGAATACTGTAGTATGTTTATACAAGTACACCGGTGTAGAAGCAAACTATCTGTAGCAAGAGAAGAGTTCGACGGTCAAGGTTAGAATGCGAAGGAAATTTATATTCTGCGCTGTGGCTTTTGTGATACTGTGTGTTATTTGGTTGCGCATGATGCTTGAACAGTCAAATTTTATTATACCATTAAGAGCACACAGATTTGATAATTTTGACAATGTGACAGGAACTGAGGAAATCATCGTGCCAAATGTGATACATTTCATTTTGTTCGGTCAGAATTCTCTAGAATTCGTGTCTTTTCTCAGCATTTTGTCGGCTCTAAAGGTGCTTAATGTGGTTTTCCTTTCCATGAAAACTGAAAATATCTATTTTTTTTCGTAGTTATAAACAAAGCTGGAAGATATTTCATATATTTCCACATAGATAACATCAGTGTCTCTTACTTTATTGCAGTATTGTTAAATTCCTGGTTTTGCTTCCTAGTACCAGACCTTTTAAAAACGATCAGTGTACTGCCAAGGATATGGAACATTTTCGTATGGAAACGAAACCGTGGCTATAACATTTTTGGTATAATCCTCAAGAATTTAATGCTATAAATTCTTACTAAGTTTGCCATAGTGCTGTAGCAACTCTGGTTCACAATTTGCTTTATTTTGACACAATAGCAGGTACCCTGTTATGTTCCAAATGTACTTCTTGAGCCAAACTGTTCGAGTGACTGTTAGAAGCTATTTAGTTGGATGTTAAAGGTGATTGTAGTTGGTGATGTTAGCAGTATGGCTTATCCATGGTAGCAGCATCTGATGGTCCCAGTTAAAACATTTTGAAAAAATGTTAATAGTCTAAAAATCTTCCAACTTTGGACACTATGCTATAAACATTAATTATTAGGCAACAGCATTACTGTGCAGTCTACAATTATTAGACTTGAAATGACATGTTTGCAATGCAGTGACTAGTTTCAGACATTAATTTTGAATGAACAGTCACAAATGTATTGTATTTCCACCCTTAGGCCATATTTGGTGGGGGGGTAGTACACGGTAGCATAGTTTGTTGAGGCACCATGCTACAAGCCGGAAGGCTGCAGGTTAGAGTCCCAGTGAGGTGAATTTGTCCTTCCAGTTGCACTGTGGCCCTGTGGCTGACTCAG